TAAATATCTTCATAATCTTGTGATTCAATATTTTTATTTTAAAATTACATTGCCCATAAATGGCAATGTCTAATTCATCAATTGACTCATTTGTTTTGTTCATTTACTCATTCAACCAGGGCTGGAGTGATAGCACAGTGGTAGCATTTGCCTTGCACGTGGCCAGCCAACCCAGGTTTGATTCCTCTGCCCCTCTGGAGAGCCCGGCAAGCTACCAAGAGGATCTCGCCCTCACAGCAAAGCCTGGCAAGCTATCCGAGATGAATTCGATATGCCAAACACAGTAACAACAAGTCTCACAATGGAGACGTTACTGGGTCTACTCGAGCAAATTGATGAACAATGAGAGGACAGTGACAGTGACAGAGGCAGATATTGTTATTATTATTATTATTATTCCCATTTTACAAAAGGAAACCAAGGCCCAGAGAAATCACATGACTTGCCCTAGGTCACATTGCTTACAACTGAGAAGCTAAGATCCAGGTTCAGGGTCATCACCTGATTCCCAACCCTGTAACATCTGTTGAGTGGCTTACCCAGCTTTGGGATCCAAAAAACAGGAGAGTAGGCACCCCTAGAGGAAGCCAAGTAAGAATCCTTGCTGATGGATAAATGAGATATTTTCTCAGGGATAACTCAATGAGTTGAACATATGTGTTGCATGGAGAAGCTTGGGTTTGATCCTCAGTACCACATGATCCAGTACCACCTGGAGCAACTCCTGAGCACAGAGTCCCTGAGTACCCCTGTGTATGGCTTCCCACCCCCACCCTCCCATCACCCCCAACATTTTCAATTGAAAAAGAGAAGGAGTAAGAGCGAAATGAAAGACTTTACAGCCTTGTGTATGAGAATCTGGGGCGGGGGGGGGGGGGAGGGTGAAGAATAGCAGGGCTACTGGGAGGGGCAGGCTGTTCCTGTAGGCCTCCTCAGAGTGGAAGATGTGGGCAGAGGGGCCAGAGAGCCCTAATACGTAGAGGTGAGTACTGATGGGGTAAAGGTGGGAGTGTACGCCAGATCATGCCATGTTCCGGTACCCAAGCCAATTACATACGTGGGCATGGCAGGCGAGGAGAGTTTCTGAGGTCCTGAGTAGCAGGCTATGCCCAAGTTCCCCAGTGCATGTGACACTACATCATCAAGGTCATCATTGAGATCACAGGAACCAGTAGTCCTGGCAAGGCCCCACTGTGGACCAACCCAGAATCCCTTATTTCTTTGCATTATAAAGGCACGTCCTTTGGACCCTGGCCTAATTCATCTAAGGAAGAGGCAGGAGGCTAGCTGAAGGAGAGAGAACATTATCCCCCAAATACCAGGTATTAGATGGCACTAGTTAAAGATATTGTATGCTGGTAATTATGAGAGAGAGAGAGAGAGAGAGAGAGAGAGAGAGAGAGAGAGAGATCAAATCCCTTCAACTACTACTAAGTGCATAGAATTCTTCTAAGAAAAGACCAGAATGCAAATGAACCACATACTTTCCTTCATGATCAAGCTGCTGTCAGAGTAGTTTGTGAATCTGTTACACAACAGGAGCACACACATGCACATGTGTGAACACACACACACACACACACACACAGAGGAATCACACTATTCACACCCAAAGCAGAGGTGAAATCACATGCAGCACTCCAGTATAGATGCTGAACTACATTAGACACTGGAGAAGGGAAGTTTTGTTTTTTTATTTATTTTATTAATGGGGAGAATAAGAAGCACTTCCAGCAGTGTTGGGGTACCAAGACTGAAGAGGTACCAAGACTCGCATGTACACTCCAGCCCTTTTGTGCCATTTCCTTGGCTTCAGTACTTTTAAACATTCTTTAAAATCTCTCCAAGTAGGAGGGATAGTGGGACCCGTGGTGGTGGAAAATGGGCACTGGTGGAGGGATGGGTATTTGATCATTGTATAATTGAAACCCAAGCACAAAAATGTGTAAGTCTGCAACTGTACCTCATGATGTCTCACTATTAAAAATATTTTTTAATAAAAAAAATTTTTTAAAATAAAAAAAATTAGAAACCAAAAAAAAAATCTCTCCAAGTAGGGACAGTTAGGTGCATGCTCAGCCTAGTATCACATGGCTTCCTGAATATTACTGGAGTGGCTCTGGAGGCCCCCTGAGACTGATGTCGGGATGACCCAAATAATCCCCCACATCCTAGGGCACCAAAAGTATCACTTTCTCAGACCCTCACACTGAACCACCCACCCAACTGGCTAAGTGTCCCTGGTAGAGGCCCTCAGCAACCTGAACTCTACTTAAAAGCTCCCTTGCTGCACCCAAAAAATTCTCTTCAAGGCACCCTTACACATATTCTGGAGACCAGCTACGTGGAATTGGGAATAGAGAACTGATTCTTCAAGGGAGCAGCAAGATGGAACATGCACATCTTTCAGGCGGCTGCCCCACTGGGACAGACCCAAGAGAGGAAGAAAAAGCTGGAGAGCACAGATGCCAGGCAGAACATCTGCTCCCCTTTGACAGAAGGCACTGTCCTGGATGTAGAAGAAACTGGAGTCCCATACCTAGTTCCAACAGCCTTCTGGAAGGTTAAGCCCAGAGGTTCTGAAACTTACCCAGCAGCATACAGATGAGAGTGAGAAAGATGTTCCTTCAAGCAAGTTTCTGCTCCCCCAGACATTGACAAATAAATTCAACAGTCACCTGTCTTGATTGCTTTATTATTCCCCAATCCAACCCTGTGCCTAATCCAGAAAGTATGAAACAAGGTCCATTCCCCATCCCACACTCACTCCAGTTCCCTCTCCTCCCTCCCCAGTCTACCCAGTGCCTGCTTCTCCTCCCCTGGTATTAAGGATCTAGATCCCCATGTTTGACATGTGAAAGCAAAAGAAAGTGTTTCACCAACACTTGGGCTATAAATCTTATTGTTGGAAGAGTAAATGTCAAGAGAGTCCCATGCACTTTGCCACTTCTTGTTTGTTACCTTAGGAAGGTCATGCTGGAGCATGACTGCACACTCCACACCCTCCTAAAGGAACCATTATTCTCTTCAAAATATTAGGGTGACATGGTAGACTGTCTGGAACAAGTTACTCAAGGTCCATGGTAGTTCTTCATCATCATCACCTCTACAATATTACTGTGTTATCCTAATTTCTCAAGGTTGATATGCATTCATTTGTTCTTTCAACAAATGTTGATACATGATCTCCTATTTGTTTGGCACCAGGTTCCAGTATTGTTCAGCAACAAAAAGATTCCATGTTTTCGAGAAGCTATAGGTTGGTAGGGAGAGGAAAAAGAAACAAACAAAAATTAATTTGTGTGTATGTATATATCTATAATCAAGTAAATAAAGAAATTAAGACTGGAGGGAATCAGTGAGGAGCACTGTTTTATATGAATAGTCAAGGAAGATCTCTTGGAATAACAATTCCAGGAATATATGAGTCATGCTGAAATCTAGAAGTAAAGATTCCAGGCAGAGGAAATGGTAGGTGCCAGGGCACTGAGTTGTGAGTTTGCTTGGTAAGTTGAGAAAATAAGAGAAAAGTGCGTCTGGACCAGAATAAGTAGGGAGAAGGACTGTAGAAGCCAAGATCAAAGCAATGAAGAAGGTCAACTATGGCCTTGCTTGTCGAGGGAAGAGTCTACGTTTTGCTTCCTGAGAGTTTTGAACAAAGAGTTTATATGTCGATAAGGTCAACAATTTTATTGTTTTTATTTTTTTTGTTTGGGGCCATACCCAGTGGTATTCAAGACCCACTCCTGGTTCTGTGCTCAGGGATCATTCCTGGAGATGATCAGGGGACCATGTATGGTCCAGGGCTGAACCAGGTGAGTCAAGTGCAAGACCAATACCTTAACCCACTATCTCTCTGGTCCTAGCCAACAATATTATAAAGATGATACACACCTGTGTGGCAAATAGTTTGGCAGTAGTGAAAACTGACCAACGCTGTTCAATTAAGACATGAAATATTAGTGTCAAGTCAGGATGGTGACAATAAAGAAACTAAGGAGTCCTCAGACTTGGAATGGATTATAAAAGTTTAGCCAGTGGATTTTACCACCATTTTTAATGGGACGTATGAGAAAAACTCATCAATAGTAACTTCAAGGTCAAATTCTACTTCCATTTCTTAAAATGAGAATTTTTCACTTGATCCCATTTTTAAAGAGTCCAGGAGAAGGTTGGCCAGCCTCACTGCTTCCTCCTAGGAAGAAAATCATCAGAACCCAACTTAAAGAAGCTTTATGGAAAGAGATGGGCTCAGCAGTAAAGGAAAGAGGCAAGGTGAAGATAATGAAGTATGTGATGTGCAGTCTCCTGCCCCCACGCCTGGCTATTCCTCACCGGGCCCCTTGGAGGGGAGCGGGTTGAGCTTTCCTCCCCGCCCTGGCCAGGGCCCCGGCAGCCAAAGACCTCCAGGACCAGCCACCACCATGCTGAGACCACTCTCCGCACACCTGAAGGTACCGGCAGAGGGACAAAGCCACGTGGGTTCCGGGGCCGAGATCTCCAAGCCTACCCAGATTGGAGTCGAGCATCCTCCACCCAGATCCTCCAAATTCCAGTAGGCGGGGGTCACACCCACCAACTGGCCCCCTGGAGCCATGTAATCCCATCAGCGGCCAAGACTCAGAGACTATAAAAACCAGATCCCGGAACTGCGCGGCCGCATTTGTGGCCGCGCGACATCTTATTATGACATCTCATTCCTACTTTGACAAACTGGCAGGCTACCGAATGTAGCCTGCCCACACGGCAGAGTCTGGCAAACTCCCTGTGGCGTACCCAATATGCCAAATACCAGTAACAATGATGGGTCTCATTCTCCTAAAGAGCCTTGAATATAATCTCAGGGCTAGGATGAAGGAGACGTTACTGGGGCCTGCTCGAGGCAATCGACGAATAACAGGATGATCTGTGATCTGTGATCTGTGATCTGTGATGTGATTACTTCCACAGTTTTCCAAACCTTCCCCCCAAATTACCAGATTTTATAAATATTGGGTGTGATATTCATTTCAGCAGCATATATGCATCTAGAGTAACAAGGAGAAGATCAGCATGGCCCCTGAACAAAGATGACATGCAGATTTATAAAGTGTTCCATACATTTTCAAAAATAAAGATGTCATGCGTGGTCTGATTTCAGAGGACATGGGCTTTGTGCCCAGAACATTGAGGGGAAATTTAAATAGATTGGGAGGAAATATCTTACCTGTGAGTCTTATTTTCTCTTCAGAACACTAGTTCCCTCCAGACAGAGAGAGATACACAGTATTTTTAGACTTTTGGAATGTATGTGTGCCCCATACAGAGTCTTCACATTGAACCTGACTAGAAGACATTAAGTTGGATTCCACCTTGTTAGAATTCATATATTCCAGTCTCCTCCTTGTTTTAGTTTGGAGTCTCCTGGAAGAAGGAACAATCATTGACATTCAAGTTGTCTATTGGAGAGGTGATCTCCAGAAACATTAAAAGGAGCATGGGAAGGAGAGAGGAACCAGGGAAGTTAACCTATCCGTGGTCCTTCATGAGGTAATCATTGTAATCAATAAATGGAAGTTCAGTTCTGTGAAAGAAGTCTTGGAGACTATGCTCAACACACCTCAGAGTTTCCTTGTATATGGGAAAGAAAGCTAGAGTATATAACCATCAATTCCAGCTGTCCATGACTCGGGCCAACTCCTAGGAGTTCAGCATCCCAACTTGCCCTATATAAGACCAAGCAGATTGCAAAGATGAAAAAGTTCTTTTAAACAGAGCCTCAACAGCTCGGAGCAGAAAGTTTTACTTGGGGAAGAGAATAATAGTAAGTGTCAAGAGAATTGTGAGTGTCAAGGGGATTATATGGGTAGATAAAACGAGCAATTTCATCTGCTAAACCAATTTTCTTTGTTTTTAAGAGATAAAGACATTGCTGTCTCACAGAACAACTGCAAAGGAAGGTTGAATAATACTCTTCCCTTCCCCTTGTCTCTCTCTCCTCTCTCTTTCTCTCTCACTCTCATTCTCACTTTTTCATTACTATTCTTAGCATCTCTTCCTCTTTCCTCCTTCACCCCATTCTCTGCTTCCCTTGATGTAGGCTTTGCTCTGAGCAGAAACTCGTATCTTCAGAGGTCAACGGCAAAGAGATCACTATTGTCACTTCAGCCTTGTATCATTTTACCTCACTTTTACACCCAGAAATTCCAAAACAAAGATCTTTGCTCTTCCAAGAGCTTCCCTCAAGTTCTCCTTGAACCGCAAAAGGTATTCACCCAGGCCCTGAAGGGTAATAGAGAGGGAAAATACTGATGTGATAGTCAGGGAGTGGGTCCACCTCAGAGCAGTTTGGAGGTTGAGCTTAATTCCATAATAGCAACACAGACAGTCAACAGAATCCAAGACCTATGAAGGACTAGAGATTTGCGCAAAATTGAACAATCGCAATTGGTAAGCAAACTGACAACCTTATAAAAAATAAGTAAAAGTTTTGTTTGGACTATGTGTTGTTGTAGAGGAGCCACACCCAGTGGTGCTGGGGACAACTCCCACGTAATGCAATGTTGCTCAGGGGGCTATGCAGTGTCAAGGATTGAACCCATGGCTCCAGCATGCAAAGCATGTGCTCCAGCCCTTTCAGTCATATCTCTGACCCCTAAACAAAAGTTTTGAACACGTATTTTATTAAGGAGCACATCCAATGGCTCAGGAATATGGGAAAGGTGCCTGCCTACAATCTTTATAAGGGATACACACATTAAAATCACACTATGATATCACTACACAACCACCAGGTTAGCTATGATGAAAAAGACCAAAAGTACCAAGTAATGACAAAAACACAGAGCAATTGGAACTCTCAAACATGCTGGTAGGAACAAGGTTGCTGAAAGCACTTTGAAAACCACTTTGAAGTATCTACAAGTTCTGAATATATCCTGACACTGTGGTCCAGCTATACCCTTCACAGCATAAGTACGTGGGAAATTCAAGCATATCAAAATGTACAAGAAGGCTCTATGAACTCTAGTTGTAATAGCAAAATGTAAACAGAATGACAGTCAAAAGTAAAATAAATAAGTCATATGATCAAGTGGAGCAATAGCACAGCGGGTAGGGTGTTTGCCTTGCATTCGATTCTCCTGTCCCTCTCGAAGAGCCTAGCAAGCTACCGAGAGTATTCCACCTGAATGGCAGAGCCTGGCAAGCTCCCCGTGATGTATTTGATATGCCAAAAACTGTAACAACAAGTCTCACAAAGGAGACATTACAGGTGCCCGCTCGAGCAAATCGATGAACAACGGGAGGACAATGATACAGTGATATGATCAAGTGGAATACTATGAGTTAATGAAAAGGAATGGCCTATTACCACTTTTGTATGTAGACTTCACATACAAAATAATGATGAAAAACTGTGACACAAGTGATTCTATTTATTGTTTTGAACTTATTCTTTTCAAGAACAAATAAAATTAATCTGTGCTACTAAAAGTCAAGATAGTAGCTACCCTGGTAGAGATGGTAGATGGAAAGAGGGAAGAAGATAAGTGACTTTTTAGGGGGACAGGAGGTCACACTTGGCGGCACTCAGGATTGGCTTCCAGCAGTGTTCAGAGTACCACACATCAGCCCTTTGACCTCATCTCTCTGCCCCAGGACAAGTGATTTCGGAAGTGCTAATCCTATTCCTCCAGCACATGGATTAATTCTGCTTGTGAAACTTCATCAAGAATGCACTTTCCCCTACTTCTTTACTAATGTATGAGGGAGTTCAATTTTTGTAAATTTAATTTTTTAAGTGTAATTTAAATTAAATTTAATTTGTAAATTTAATTAAAGACAAAAATCATCCTCTTAATGAAAGAACTAGACTTATTATAGCCAAGAACTTTCTTTCGGGAGGCAGGCAGGCCAAATATCTGCCTGGCCAAGGCTTCGGCAACTGCACCCACACCCCACCACTGCAGCCATGCCAAGTGCTCAGCTCCTCAGCTTCACAAATATTCTCTGTAGAGATGCCAGTCTGTGAATAACTTCAGGTACCTGGTACCCAGGCTGAAATCTCTGGTGGTTTTTGGAGTTGGAGTGGATAGTGTGCTCTCAACCTCCCATACTTACTGAAGCACTGACAGCCACATTCACCTCCCACAGCTACCGCCATATTGACTCATTGGCTCAGACCATAAATACTGAAGTCTCTGGACTACACAATAAAGCAATATACAGCTTAATAAATTCTTTTTAAAAATTTAATAATCCTGCAATCTGTTATAATTTTTACATAAATTGATTTTTATACTTATTGATTTTAATACTGAGCTTTGTTATCTAATCAATTTTAATTCTAGAATTGTATCAACAATATGGCTTTTCCCCCTACATGATGATAAAGAAAAATGAAAAGGAATAAAAGAACTTTCCCAGCCCAGAGCTTTTCCACCAAATTCCTCAGATCACCTCCACAGTCCTCTTGAACCAGTTCCAACCAAAACTAGCTGCTTCTGCTTCATAAATAGTCAGAGAATGAAGCACTTTACCACTCTCATTCCCACCTGAGTATGGAGTCAGCAACTCAGCCTGGCCTGGACCATTCCTAGGACTGCTTTGTGGGGGTCCTAGGGTGGCAGGCAGGCTGCAATTTGTTCCATCAGCCCAACACTGCCTTGGAAAGCAAGATGTCGGTTTGATGAATTACGCATTCTCTGATGATGCATTCTAATTACTTATGGGTTTTAGGGTATAAAAATGACCAGGCAATGCTAGACAGGCAGGAACCTCAGAAGTTAGATTGGACACAAGATGTAATCAGGACCCAGGGAGTTGTTGCTTTCATCAACAGGGTTATTGATGAAAGTGATCGATAGCTACAATTGTGCCCTTATCAGGGGAAACAAAGACCAGCTCCCCGTTTTCCTCTGCTTCTTGCTCTGGAGCATCTTCTTCCTTCCCTCAGCAACAGACTCTGCTGCCCTGACCTGCCTTTTATCTGACCACGGGAGAGGTTCTTCTGGAATGGGGGTGGCCAGAAGGCTTGGGAACCACTTCCACAGCAGCAGTGTTCAGCCAGGGTGGGCAGGAGCTGTTAGAAATGGCCTGCGGGGGACCAGCCTGAGGCCCACACATTTCCTCATGAGACCCCTCCCCATAGGAAAGAGCCCCAATTGTGCATTTACTCATGCCTTTGTCCAGTTTCTGTTTCCTCTTTGCCAAAGTGGTTGCATGACCTTGCTTTTAACCCTCCTGGGGACACCCAGGGCTACTCCCAAAATAACACCCTTGGGGACCAGCAGTTGCCTCTCATGTCAGCTTATATCCTGCCATGCCAAACGGGGCCTCATGGCAGGAAACTCATATACGAAGATTCCCTGGGAGAACCCCATAATCATCCCTCATCTGGACGTGGGGCCAGAGACTGGAGGCTGATGTCCTAGTTGGTATTTCTTTCCCTCTTTCCCACCTTGGGGACCCCAACTGAGTTTCCTTCCTGGGGCCCCCTGTCCTATGATTGCCCTCTCATCTCATATGTGGCCCTCCAGTTTGTACAAACTTCCCCTGCAGCCTCCTTGGAATATACTAGGATTGTGGAGAAACTCTTCCCTAGAACAGTTAAGAACATTCATCTAATCTGGTTTTGGTGTGTGTGTGTGTGTGTGTGTGTGTGTGTGTGTGTGTGTGTGTGTGTTTCTCCTTTTCATACAGCAACCAGGACAAAACCATTCAAATCTATCCCTAGATCGTGGAGTTCAGGGAAGAACATCTTAAATAGAACTTGTCCTGGGCACCCAACCAGAATGTTAAATTGAGGCAGAGCATCAAGTGCCAGACAGCAAGGCAGCGCCTACTCCATTGCTGTCTGCGCTCGGACTCCCAGCCCGCCACCCCCGCAGTCTGCTCAGTTCTGCCTGCAGTCTGATTCCCCTCAACCCCTCCTTACCACTTTCTCTGTGGGAATCCCTGCCCAGTGGACTCCAGAGAGATCAGGGGCCAGAGGATCCAGGTCTGCCTTCAAGGCAGGAAAGAGACACTCATGTTGCTCCAGTCCCAGCCCTTCCTCCCCAGAGATCACATCACACACCCAGTGGCCAGCACCCTTTCCCTGAATTTGCTGGTTCTAAAGCAAGA